CATGGAGATGGTTGGCATGGAGATAGCGGGTATGGAGATGGTGGGCATGGAGATGGTGGGCATGAAGGTGGTTGGCATGGAGATGGTGGGCATGGAGATGGTGGGCATGAAGGTGGTTGGCATGGAGATGGTGGGCATGGAGATGGTGGGCATGGAGATGGTTGGCATGGAGGCAAACTTTCCCTTATCTCCGGATCCTCACAACCATTTGCTGTCATGGCCTCCCATAAATCACAGTCTTGGTTTCTCCATTGCTGTTCCCAGTCAGCAGAAATCGAAACATCCTTGTATAATGGGTTGTTCTTCTTTAACCAATCTAACGCATGCATTACTCTTTGAGGTCTGATGTACTCATGCATGTAATGGCCTTTGTAAGATAGTTTCCTTTTCAGTTTAAATGCTACAACTTGAGCAGCTTCAGGTAATCTGGGCAATATAGATACCACTGACTGCAGCTTAGAGGGAACATTTACTGCACTCCCGTGAATGGCCTTCTGTCCTCCACGGGGTAATGCAACCAGTTTCATAAATGGTATTCGTTGGCTGATCAATCTCAACTCTAACGGCCGAAGATCTTGCAATTCAGGAGGGACAGAGGCAAGGTCAAGGTTATTAAACCATGACTGGGTTGGGAGCTCTCCTTTCTTAAGGTATCTATGGCAAGTCTGGCAAACCCAGGACTTGCCATTAGTTTGCCATGTTGTACCAATAGATTTGGACTTAAGTATGCCATTTGTTGTTTCGTTTGTCGGGTAGTTTCCAATCTTCATTTCCAAGACTGTAGCTCTGTAAAGCAGCCGGCAGCATGATACGCAAGCATAAATTGGCCCTTCATCAATTTTCGACCTGAAGCAGGTGGCACAGTCTTCAATTGTCATGTCCTTGGTTTGTTCCTCTCTTCTTTTTTTCTTCATTCGGGTCCTTGCAGATGCACGTCCTGCCTCAACAATTTCCTGTGTGGCGTGCTTTCTATGTGTATGCATGGCAGCTCTGTTTAATGCGCGGCGCCTCTCGGCTGCTTCTACAGCCTCTTCTTCTCTGCGTCTTTTCTCTGCTTCTCTGTTATACATGCGTCTTTTTGTAGCAGCTGCTGGTGTTTCGTTCAATCTGAAACGCTGCATGCCTTCTCTGTTACACATACGCCTTGTCTTAGCAGCTTCATGTGTCTCATTCAGTCTCAAACTCTGCATGGCTTTTTGGCTAGACAGACGTCTTTTTTTAGCAACTTCAGGTGTTTCTTTCAATCTCAAACTCTGCATGGCTTTTTGGTTAGACAGACGTCTTTTCTTAGCAGCTTCAGGTGTTTCTTTCAATCTCAAACTCTGCATGGCTTTTTGGTTAGACAGACGTCTTTTCTTAGCAGCTTCAGGTGTTTCTTTCAATCTCAAACTCTGCATGGCTTTTTGGTTAGACAGACGTCTTTTCTTAGCAGCTTCAGGTGTTTCTTTCAATCTCAAACTCTGCATGGCTTTTTGGTTAGACAGACGTCTTTTCTTAGCAGCTTCAGGTGTTTCTTTCAATCTCAAACTCTGCATGGCTTTTTGGTTAGACAGACGTCTTTTCTTAGCAGCTTCAGGTGTTTCTTTCAATCTCAAACTCTGCATGGCTTTTTGGTTAGACAGACGTCTTTTCTCAGCGGCGTCTGACGTCTCATTTAATCTCTGTTTTTTCTTTCCGTCCCGGTCAGACCTACGCCTTTTCTCAGCGGCGTCTGACGTCTCATTTAATCTCTGCCTTTTATTGTACGCAGAGATCAACCTTTTCCTCTGATCTACACTTTTGCACCTTGACCTAGGCATAGTTATGCTTTGACGTTTCTGTTGACAGCGTACTTATTTGTTCACTTTTGATTGGTCTCCTGACGTTCTTAGTAGTGCTGCTGTAAGAAATTAAGTATTTTGTTTGTAAAATACATAAAGTATGGTTTTAAAAAATCCTCAGAAAAGGTAGAGCTGATAGAAAACAGAGCAAGCTTGTCTCTTGCTTTCCTTATCTGCTTGGAAAGTTACATGACTGTATACATAAATGTATGCAACTTTACTATGTTGTAAGTTGGTGCCTTCCTTGAAAATGATGCCCACGCACTGAAATGCCAAGGTTGAGAGCTGAACCCCACTTGTCCACAAATGAATTCCTATAGATGGCAACTTCCTGACTTTCTACTGCATACCTTTAATCTAATGCCCTTTAAATTAATGGTTTATGAAAATGTTTCACAAAGAAGTTGACAGACAAAATTATTTGCGGACACTACATATTCTTCGTAATAACTTTGAATGGGTAACATCGACTACATGAATATCTCTTACTTAGAAAGCAAACTTCCCCTAACCGGGCCCCCGAAACACTATCCAGCTTTAGCAAATCAGACAAAGGGGTCTGTAAAAACAAACCATACAAATCCCATTGTTAGGTCTAATGGTTTTACTCACCAGTCATCCTCCTTTCCTCGGCTCAAGCCTCTTCTCATTTAACATATCCATGCTGTATACAGGTCTCTTGAAAGTCTCTCACGGACAAACGAGTTCCATTTGCTAAAGGTACCAAACTTGGCTGATGCAACATGCATCTCCTTTGTGCAAGGCAGGGAAACACCAGCTGTCAGACAGCTCCTCTAACGCAAAACACGTGTGGAAGCAAAACACGTGTGGAAGCAGTGGGGCTTGCTACCAGTTTGATTGATGACGTTCTCCCTCGGTATGTACAGTTGACCAGATTCTATTACAGCCTGACCTATATATTTCAGGCCAAAGGTGCTACTGTAGAGTGTTGAAAACAAAAACCTGCCTCATTTTGCTCTGTACTGTAGTGCACTGTATCTTAACTGGTAGGATGTATGTATGTATGTATGTATATATATATATATATATATATATATATATATATATATATATATATATATATA